AGGTGGTGTCCGGGACCTGACACCCAGTCACCACAAGAGAGACTCCCTCTCACTGAGTCAGGCGGTAATAAGGTGACTCACAGTCCTGGGACCCCCGAGAGCCATCACAGTCGTTTTTACACAGACTGTCTTTAGCCTCACTTATTCCAACCATCCTGAACATCTATATGTGTGTGTGTCATGTCATTGTAGCCCTGTCAGTCCCGGGATATTACAGAGACAAAATGGGGGAGGGAATATCTTTTCCTGGACCAACGTCTGTTGGCCTGCTCACCTTGAATGGTCCCTTCGAATAGGCATGAGTTACTCATGCTGATCCACCTTGTATTTAGCTGGGACACTCTCAGTACCTTTCCCACACCTGAAGAACTGCTCCATGTAGCTGGAAAGCTTGTCTCTCTCCCCACCACAAGTTGGTACAATAAAATATATTTCCCCCCGCCCCCAGCTTGTCTCTCTCTATGTGTATATATAAGACAGTAGACGGGATAGAGAGGAGAAGTCAGGAGCTGCTCTTCTTCTCATTACACAAGAACAAGGGACATGCAAGGAAAGTAAAATGTGACAAATAAAAAATGATACAAGGAAATAGTTTTCCCTACAACACGTAATTAAACTCTGGAACTCACTGCTGCAGGATTTAATGAGGCCAAGACCTTAGCAAGATTCAAAAAGGGATTGGGCATTTTTCTGGGTATCAAAAATACTCAGAGTTACCAGAATTAATGACCACACACATTTTGGAAGGGAGAGTGACCCCCATGGCTTTGGGTTTGAGCCAATCTCTGTTAGAGATAAGGATGGGACACAGGATATGAGGGGGAAATTATCCCCTATCTCCCTCATGATAGATTCTCACAGCTTCTTCTGAAGCATCTGGTACTGGCAACTGTTGGAGACTGTTAGGCTAGATGGACCTGGCTCTGATCCAATCTGATGGTTCCCATGTTCCTCTAACAAGGTACAAAATTGACCTGCTGGCACTTTTCAAAAATCATTGGCACTTCTTAGGAACAGCTTAGACCCACACCAGTCAGGGATAGTCTAGTGATCACTTCCTCCTGCCTTGAGTGTAGGGGACTGGACTAGATGACTCATTGAGGACCCCTTCCAGTCCTATATGTGTAGGATTATCACTGGGTAATGTCCCCTCAGAATTCCGGGTCAGGTGGGCTGTCCTGATTACATCTGTCAGCGAGGAGCTGACTCAGAGAATTTGTCTTCTCAGTGCAGGCCAACCTGCCAGGTTGCGAGGCCGGAAGCTGAAACCCTCAAGAGGACCCCATCCCGGGAACCTGCTTGGCAGGATGCTGGGGTCCTAGTTAGTCCACAGCTCCTAAAGAAACCCAGCGCAGGAACGGGAAGTTGTCCTCGCAACTGGGATCCACCCTGCTCTGGACTCTGCCATGTGGCACCTCCTCCCGCTCTCCGGGCTTGACGTCCTGGTATCCTGACCTGGCCTGACTCCATTTATTGACCCATGATTCTCTCTCAAGTTTGTCTCCTGCCTCTGATCTCCTGGTAGCCTGATCTTGATTGCTTCCTGACACTCGATTCTCGCTTTGCCCTCTGACCTGTCTTGGACTCTGACCTCTTGGGATCTGCCCTGTCCCAATTCCTGCTTTTACCACTGGGTGACACCAGGAGCAGTGGGGGTGCCACAGCTAGCAGAGACCAGAGGTAACCCCCCAGGGCCTGAGGGAGCCTCCTACCATTGGGGGTCACCTTCACGTCCAAGGGCAAGGGGTATCCCTTTGAATAGGCCTCCCCCACAAGCACTGATTCCCCTGGGGGTAAGAGTGACGCCCAGTTTGGAAAGCAGAGCGCACAATGTTGGGGGGGGCGGGGAACAGCCCTCTCAGGCGAATGACCCTTCTGTTACCTTTTGTGTACAACGCCTGGGAAACATGTCACTGGGGTAGTGCCCAACATGTGCCAGGAGCTGCACATATAGGTAGGGAGAGACCGTCCCTGACAGAGGTGCTCTCGGTCTACGCAGACCAGCCAGACACAGCATCTGGGAAGGGGGCATATGCAAGGGGGTGGCTGAAGTGAGGCCGGGTGCAGAGACTGGGCGCTCGGGGGGTGTATACATTAATTTTAGTTGAGCTGTTCTGGTTTGGCTCTTCACACAGCATAATGGATACGGGAACACCACCAGCTGTGTTCCAAATCTCCGTGTTCAGTCACTCTGTGCAGACACACAGACCGAGATACGCACACACGCTGCTTCTGTCAGCACCGAGTGGTTTCTGCAACAGCGATTTTAAAGGGATGCTTCTCGGTTCCTCTACACAACAAACCCCATCACTGCTCCCCACTCCTCCCCTCTTCCCAGGTGCCCCCATCTGCCAGGGAACCCCACCCCCAGCTAATCACTGCTCACCTAGTGACCCCTATCCCTTCCCCTTCCCTTTCCCTGCAGTCTCAGGCCCATCCTGTAACTACTAGGCCTTACTTCCTCTCGTGTGTTTCTGCGGGCGATCAGACCATCTGCGGCTACATATTGAATAGCCCCGGGGAGAGAAACCCACGAGGTGCAGGGCAGAAGACATTCAACAGCATATGGGAGTGAGGAAAAAACCTCTCCCTATGAGCAGGTTACTCCAGAATTTCCCACGCTGGGACTTCTTGCACGGCTGGTCTGTGTCAGTGCCAGGCCCCTGGGCCGGCCACCCCCTGCTCTAATGGCAGGTCACCTGTGCCTAGCCTGGCCAGACTGGAATTCACCCAGCCCCTCTGAGCTGAGGGGTCACAGCCACGTTCCTCTGCTGCCCTCCACAGGGCCGAGTAGAGCGTGACAACTTCAAACGGGGCTGCTGGTGCTGGCTGGACTCACGACCGCCCGCTTTTCGCTCCCCTTACGCCGGGGTCAATTTAACAGAGCAACAGATGAAACCACTCCACTACCATCTACAAACACTGACAGCTACAGTCACCAGGCAACCTTATACAGGGTAAACTCATAAATTGTTGTTGTTTTTTCTTTCTAATCTGAAATTTTGTCTGTGCTCAATAATGTAGATGCTGAAACAACTGATTACGTAGGACACCTAAATGTATTATTCAATCCTCAATATAAGAGCCAGGGTGAGCCTACATGAAAGCAGAAGCTCTCCAGTGGTCAGCCGGCCTAATCCCTGGTTTGCTTTTCTAAGGTATCATGTGTGTATATAAAGCCAACTCATTCAGGGGTCATAAAACCCCTCATGCATTTAGTTCCAGAGGTCCCAGGTTTGATCCCTGTTGCTGACACCCTGTGGGGGTTGGTATACCGCTATAGTCCTGCTCTGAGTGCATGAGACACAACCAGGTGATTTACTGAGGTCCCTTCAGGCCTTTGTTTTAAAGTTAAAATAACAAATCACTAGTGAGGGCTGTCAGCGTTGTTCCTGTTGTGCTGGACTGGTTTGTCTCTGGAGTGTTATTCAGAACAAGGTATTGGACATGTAAATGGTGTGGGTGTATGGAGCTGTTTTATGGGAAAGGCTGATACCAGATTCCTAAGAAGGGCAAGAAAGGCAATGATCATTTCCACGGTCAGTGTTTAAAAGTTTCCTATAGAAAATCCCGCTGTTCGCTCTTGCCAGGCTGGGGCTTCCCGGTCTGTGTAAGGACCTGACGCCCGAGAGAGGAACCGCAGCACAGACTTGGTCCGTAGATTGACTTCCCTCCCCTCCACATAGGTCACATTTAAAAAAGGGGCGGGGGGGTACATAGGTTAGACAGGGCTCAGGGCACTCACCTGGGATGGAAACCCAGGGTCAAGCGGCTGCTCAAACTCAGTAGAGCACTTGAACGTGGGTCCCCCACATCCGAGGGGAGTGGTTGCACCACTGGCTCCAATCTGCCTCCGTCTTTCTCAATCTCCCAGTGGAGGCACTTCCACTTTGTGTAACTCATCAAACGTTCCCCGTTCCAGAGACCGACTCTGGAGCCCAGTGGCTGGGGCATTCCCCGGGGAGAGCTGGGGCCGCGTCTCTGCTCCAGCGACCAGCTCCAAGGGAAGAGACAGCAAGAGGCCTGTCACTGGGTGAGTGCCCCCTCCCCCCCCCCCCCCCCGGTCGTGCCTGTGGCTCAGCAGCTGCCCTCTGCCTGGGTTTCAGTGGGGGCACCTGGGCTGGAGGAGGGGGCAGGTGAGGGCTGGGGAGACCGAAGGAGCAGCAGAGGCCTGTCTGAGGGAAAGCTGCGGGTGCAGAATTTGGAGGACAGCTGTTGGCGGGGGCTGGCTGCAGCCGGGGAACCGTGCTGAGTTGCAGGGAGGCCCCTAGGAACGAGGGGAAGAGCCAGCATGGTCCGTGTGAGCCAGGCCCAGAGGCAGGGCTCAGAGCCAGGAGGCCTGAGGAGTGCGCCAAGGCAGGGAGCCCTATGGCAGAAGACCTGGCACCCAAGTGGAGCCAAGGAACGAGGGGGGTCCTGGCGGGAGGTTGCCCTGAACAGGGATAGGCCCGACCTCTCATTGTAAATTGAAAAGCAGCAGGTTAAAGATGGATTCCAGTACCAGGTGACATGGTCACATGTACTGTGAGACCCCAAGCCTTCATTCTTCCTGGCCTGACTCACAGGAAGACTTGCAAGTAAACAGAGCCATCTACAGTCAATTGTCCTAGTTGATGGGAGCTACCAAGATTCTAAACCACCATTAATGGCTCACACTTTGCATAACTACAGTAGGACCTCGGAGATATATTTCGTATTTCTAGTTTCAGATACAGGAGTAGTACATTTATACAAATAGGATGACCACACTCAATAGATTATAAGCTTTGTAATGATACCTTACAAGAGACCTTTTGCATGTAGTATATTCCAGTTACATTATATTCACAGGTTTCAGAGTAGCAGCCGTGTTAGTCTGTATCCGCAAAAAGAAGAACAGGAGTACTTGTGGCACCTTAGAGACTAACAAATTTATTAGAGCATAAGCTTTCGTGGACTACAGCCACGAAATGAATTATATTCACACTCATTAGCATATTTTCATAGAATCATATGGAGTATAACATCACAAATCAGTTAAAGACAGTGTAAAAAACGTATCCACGAGGAGGGGCTGTATTCAGACTGCCTGGGCCTTCTGCCACGTCCCAACATGTGAATGCTTGACTTTGCAACCTTAATAATGTTCTTTTTAACATTGTGTTTTGCACGTTCTATAGGTCTGTTTGATCCCTTTATAATAATGTCTAAGAAGCTCGTCATCTGAGCTCCTGCAGTTTGAGAAGCGCAGAGGAACAGCTATTTTCGATTTGTAAAGGACTTTGATAGACAAGTACGAAATACACTCAGACCGTGGTGGGATTAGAGCAGTATGGGGAAGCCTCAAATGAAACAATGTGGATCAGGAATTGTAGCCTGCCAGATTCAGCTTCATTATGTTGTCTGCCTGCATCATCCCACTGCAATTCTCTACCCAATGTCATTTCAACCCAATTTCATTTCTAAACGGACTTGTTGGCGAGATTCATGGCTCAGCCCAGCTGCCGCACTCAACGCAAGAACGCACGGATCGCTCCTTCCCAGACCTGTTTGCTCCTCACCCCGTAAACAATGGGGTTCAGCATGGGGGGGACGACGACGTAGAGATTGGCCAGTAGAATGAGGGTGTGGTGGGGGATGCGGCGACCAAACCGATGGGTGCCCCAGGAGAAAAACGCTGGGGTGTAAAACATTAGTATGACACAGATGTGGGAGCCGCACGTGTTCAGAGCCTTGAGGTGGACGCCCTGGGATGGCAACCTAAAGAGAGACCAGAGGATGCAAGCATAGGAGACCGCAATAAAAATAGCATCCAATCCTGCTGATAGGAAACCAGCTGCTAAACCATACCAAATATTGACTGTTATGTCCCCACAGGCCAATGTGGCCACACCTATGTGCTCGCAGTACGTGTGAGGCATAATATTATGTCCGCAATAGTGGAGCCGTTTAAGGAGAAAGATGACTGGGAACATTATACATAAGCTCCTGGTTAGAGCGGCCACGGCTATCTTCCTAATCACAGGGAGTGTTAATACAGTTGTGTACCGCAGCGGGTCGCAGATGGCAACGTACCGATCAAAGGCCATGGCCAGTAGGATGGCCGACTCGGTAATGAAAATAAAATCAATGAAAAACATCTGGGTGAGGCAGCCGTTGAAAGAGATCTCCTTGGAGAGAGACCAGAAAACATTCAGGGTTTTCGGCACCGTAGTGGTGGATAACAGCAGATCGGCCACTGTTAACATGGACAGGAACATGTACATGGGCTCATGGAGGTTCGGCTCTGTTATGATGGTGAAGAGGAGGACAGAGTTCCCGAGAAGGGCTACAACGTACATCAGACAGAAGGGGATGGAGAGCCAGACGTGTGCCTGCTCCATGCCTGGGATGCCGAGCAAGATGAACGTTGCAGGGTGGGAGCTGGTGTAATTGAGCGCTGACATGGTACAATGCAGGCCTGTCACTGCCACGCAGGCTCTCTGGCCTCTGAGGGAAGACAAGAACAGTCACTGTCAGAATAGCTGAAACTACAAAGTTCATTGCCAGAAATATTCATTAGCAAGTCTTGTCCCGCCCCCCATTTGGGCGAGCCGGTGTTCTCAGGGTGTATTCTCTATTTGACTAATCTGATTGAAGGTCGGATGGTGGTTTGGCCATGAGCTGTTTCCTCCAGCTATTCACTACCCATTATCCTAGCTGTGTGATTGGCCACTGTCAGAGACCCACAGGATCCTGCTGCGCTCCCAGCTTTGGAACCCCTTCAGCCTGCCAGACCCCAAGTGGTCTCTCTCTTCCTCCCAGGTAGCTCAGGAGGCCTCTGGTCTTCAGCCCTCCGGCTTCACACCATGAGCTCTGCCCAGCGAGTCCAACTGAGGCAGACAGACCCCTGGGAGACACTGGTCCATGCTGCAGGGGTTAATGCCCCTCGCCCAGCATTTGCAGTGACACTCCAACTGCATTGTCAAAACAGTCGGTTTATTAGTCGACGAATGCAGCATGGGACGTCCTAGGTAAGCACAGAGAACTGACAGTTAAAGCATCGTTTGTTCTGGTCAGCTCAGAGCCCAGCCAAGCTGTAGTGATCCCCACTGTTCAGGCTTTGTCTGTCTCTCTGTCAGTGTCCTGGGGACTGGCTTTGCCATTGTCTTCTCCAATTCTCCACTGATATGGGGACCCCTCGGCCAGTCCTTTTTAGTGACCCATTCAGGCTCGGATAGCTGGGTGACATTCCTACCTATGTTTCTTAGCCTGCCCCGAGAGCAAACAGTCCTTCCCCACTCCCCCGGATAACAATGCAAAATAGAGGAGAAACGGAGGCACGCAGAGGCTTCATAAAAATATGACAGAAAATTCCCCCTTCACCACAGCCACGTAGAATCGTGTCTGCTTCCTGGATGGGATCAGTTTGCTAAGGAGAATAACAAACATATGGACAGGACAATTCCCTTCTGGGTTGTATTCTGGAGGGACGAACATTCATGGTAAAATGTAGGAAACCTTCACATTTGCAACACCCACGCGCCACTCGCTTGCTCCAAAGACTGATTTACCCAGTGATTCCCGCTTGCTGCTTTTCTGTGCAGACACATTCTTGCATTAATAACTTTCTGTGACACAAAACATACTCCTCATCATTCCCTATGGCGCTTCACTCCTGTCTTCTGGAGTGTGGCACCGGGCAGGAGCCAGCCGGGCATTTGTGCCATACATGGTGGTGTGCACAGAGATGGACTCATGCCATGCAGTCCCGCTCCCAGCAGAGGAATCGCCTGGTTAATATCCGGGCAGGTGACTCCGCTGTCCCCTTCATGTCATGGAATGACAGGTCCCAGCCCCCTCCCGGGATCCTTACCAGAGGGGTTAGAATGTCACAGGCAGAACATCTGTCAGGTCAGGGCATGGCCGTGTGTCCTGGGCAGTGACGCCACATTATAATCAATCCTGTCTGGGCGAGGGGCGGATCCCAGCTCTGAACCTAGAAGCTGCATCTCCTGGGTGTTTTTTCCTCCAGCTGCAGATTCCCTCCCCCTCACTCCAATCACAGTCCTCATCCCACCAGGCCCTGCTGAATGCCCGAGAGCTGCCCCTGACCCAAACGTCTAATGCCAGCGACTCACCAGGCTCCGGCCCCAGCCGGGGAGGAGGAATCTCTGCCTGTGATCCAGGTGCGGAGCGGCAGGAGGTGGAGAATCTGCAATGACCAGGGCTGAGACACAGGGATATTCATAGTGCTGCCCTGGGAATCCCAGCGGGGGGCTCCGAGCCAGCAGGGAGCCCCAGGGACCTAGTCTCTGTGACTCAGGTGGTGAAGAGCAACAGGGATTTAACACTTTGTTTCTCTGTGCATTTTTCTAGCATTATTGGCATCATAATTCTGCCTTCCTATAGCCAAGGCTCTTTCTCATTGAACAGGGATCCCATTTCAGTATCTGATGGGGCTGCACTCAGTGACCCAGGAGAGCCCTTTTAGTCCTACACACCAGCACCCCATGCAGGAATGATCCGACCAGAGCCTCAAGCACTGGGTTTGCCCCTAGGGCTGCCTGGAACAGCTGTCATCAGCACCAGAACAGAGACCAGTGATCTCTGCAGAGTGTGTTGCATGGCTCCGGCTTGGGAAGGGTGTCCAGACCTAGAGCCCAATCCTGCAGTCCCTGTGCAAGGGAATCAAAGCAGTAGCAATTTATACTCACTCGGTACAGCTGCACATGAGGAGGCAAGTTGCCAGGCAGGGCAGTATCAGGCCCTCTGCATTGTGTGTGACATCACGGCCGTTCCTGCCCGTAGACTGTTACCGCTACGTCAGTGGTTCTGAAATGTTTCTGCACCCACAGATGCAGAGGAACACAGGCGATAAAGGGTTAACCCTTGTGGAAATTCCAGTTGTGTTCTTTCTGGTTGTCAGCTGGTTCTGGAACCCAGCAATGGATTTATCAGGCCACTGGTTCCTGGGCCACTGGTCCTCCCCAAGAAATCAGCAGAGACCTATGGGAGGGTTGGAATGGAGTCTGCTGGAATTTCTACAGAGCAAGCAGCCACTGGCATTGCATGCTGCAGGGAGGCTGAAATCAGAGGAGAAGAGACTGCAGACCTGTGCTTGGAGTGGGTCACTAGGATCTAGGACTCCTGGGTTCAGCTGGTATCAACCAGCTTCCCAACAGGCATGGAGCTTTGAGAGGCCAATCTGGATTTCTCAAGAATTAGTGAATCATCAGGTGGCCGTAATACATCTGAGTAAATCAACTAATCGCTCATTCATGGCTCTGCTGTTGTGTAATTTTAGGCCAGACAGTTAAAATCTCTGTTTGCCGACCAGTGAAATAGTGGGCTAACCCTTGCCCACAAGGAGTGTTGTTGTAGCCGTGTCAGTCCCAGGATATTACAGAGACACGGTGGGGGAGGTCATATATTTTATGGGACCAACTTCAGTTGGTGAGCTTGTCTCCCTCCCCACCTTGTCTCTCTCAGAGTATTGCTGTGAGGAAAGGCATCTATTAAGGCCTTGATCAGCAGAATACTTAAGCACATGCTTTACTTTAAGCATATGTTATCTCGGTCCCTATTCAGTAAAGCACTTAAGTATATGTTTAACTTTGAAGATAATCAAAGAATCATAGAATATCAGGGTTGGAAGGGACCTCAGGAGGTCATCTAGTCCAACCCCCTGCTCAAAACAGGACCAATCCCAACTAAATCATCCCAGCCAGGGCTTTGTCAAGTCTGACAAAACCTCAAAGGAAGGCGTTAGCTCCCTAGGTACCCATTCCAGTGCTTCACCACCCCCCTAGTGAAAAAGTTTTTCCTAATATCCAACCTAAACCTCCCCCACTGCAACTTGAGACCATTACTCCTTGTTCTGTCATCTGCTACCATTGAGAACAGTCTAGATCCATCCTCTTTGGAACCTCCTTTCAGGTAGTTGAAAGCAGCTATCAAATCCCCCCTCATTCTTCTCTTCTGCAGACATAATAGGTATGGCTACACTGCAATTAAAAACCCACGGCTGCCCATGCCAGCTGACTCAGGCTCCAGGACCCCGAGCCCAGGTGTCTACACCACAATGAAACAGCACCTTAGCCCGAGCCCTGGGAGCCCGAATCAGCTGACACGGGCCAGCCATGGGGTCTAATTGCCATGTAGACATACTCATTGGGTCTGAAGCATGTGCTAAGATGGATGTGAGCAGGTATTAAAGCTCAGACCATGCTTAAGTGCTTTGCCCAGTCAGGGTCTAAGTGCAAATAATCACAAAGGGCCCACTGTAAAGTCCATTGACGTCACCGGGAGTGTTTCTGTGGAGTTCAATGGCCCAGCTGTTCAAGGGGACCTACAGATTCCACCTTGCATTTCACTCAGCCCCTTTCATAGACTCATAGATTCATAGACTTTAAGGTCAGAAGGGACCATTATGATCGTCTAGTCTGACCTCCTGCACAATGCAGGCCACAGAATCTCACCCACCCAGTCCTGTAATAAACCCCTAACCTATGTCTGAGCTATTGAAGTCCTCAAAACGTGGTGTAAAGACCTCAAGGTGCAGAGAATCCTCCAGCAAGTGACCCGTGCCCCACGCTGCAGAAGAAGGCGAAAAACCTCCAGGGCCTCTGCCAATCTGCCCTGGAGGAAAATTCCTTCCCGACCCCAAATATGGTGAACAGCTAAACCCTGAGCATGTGGGCAAGACTCACCAGCCTGCACCCAGGAAAGAATTCTCTGGCTGGCTTCTGAGTGAGGCGTGCAAGAAGGCCAACTTCGGTGAAAGCCCCGGCGTGCGATACGCGAACCAGCCTCGCCAGCCAAGCGGCTGCACCAGGAGCCTAGCACAACCCAGTGTTCAGAAAGCGGGGGAGGGATATCTCAGTGGTTTGAGCATTGGCCAGGGTTGTGAGTTCAATCCCGGAGGGGGCCATTTAGGGATCTGGGGCAAAAATCTGTCTGGGGATTGGTCCTGCTTTGAGCAGGGGGTTGGACTAGATGACCTCCTGAGGTCCCTTCCAACCCTGATATTCTATGAGTCTCTCCGCGAGGGAGCCATTGAAAAGGCCCCGCGAATGCTGTGCTTTCCCAAGGAGCAGTCGAGCAATTAAGCTAACATTTTAACCAAGCTCCGAGTATAAATCTTCCTAAGGAGCTGACTAATATCGCATTATGTACGAGTTGAACAGGCAGGCGCTCTGGAGCTGGTGACTGATTGACCAAGTGGTTCTTTTCCTCTCTTTCCCAAATGTGCACAACCTGTGCAAAAACCTGCCCGAGGCCGTTCAGTCCCCCCTCAGAGCAGAGTTACTGCCGGGGTTTGAAAATGCTTCCGCCGCCTTTGCAGGAGGGCTGCGAAGTCTGACAAAGGACTGGGTTGATTTCTAGCTGTACGGTGTGCGTTTGTTCAATGCCGTCCTTTTAGACCCAGTCACCTAAGTCCTCTAAGTGACAGCGGGCTGGTGTTTTAGAGCCACGGAGCACCAAGAGCTGCTGTCGAGGTCAGTGGGACCACTCATGTAAGTCACGTTACTCTTGTGCTCAGGCATTAGCAGGCCATGAACTGGGCAGCGAGGCAGCTGGCATGCTGATCCCACTGCCCATCACGCTGGCCAAGAGTGTCTCATTTGTTCCTTGCACTCCCCCATCTGTCTGTCTGTGCCTCTCATCTGATACTTCTTGTTCTGTGATGTACAGCACCTGGCACAACAGGGACCTAGTCCATGACTGGGATTCCTTGGCGGGAGGGTAATACGAATAGATAACGATAATTAATAAAACGACACACCAAGCAGGGGTAACCAGGGCCGGCTCCAGGCACCAGCTAAGGAAGCAGGTGCTTGGGGCGGCCGATACAAAGGGGCGGCACTCCGTCCGCTATTGGGGCGGCCCGTCCAGGTCTTCGGCGGGAATTCGGCGGCGGGTCCCTCAGTCCCTCTCTTTCTCTTTGGGCTGTCGCCAAAGTGCCGCTGAAGAGGAAGAGAGGAGGAAGAGAGGGAGTGAAGGACCCACCGCCGAACTGCCGCCGAAGAATGGAGCGGCACAATTGAGCTGCCGCCGAAGTGCCGCCGATCGGCTTTTTTTTTTTTTTTTTTTGCGGCTAGGGGCGGCAGAAAACCTGGAGCCAGCCCTGGGGGGTAACAAACAAGGTCCTAATTCAACAAGGAGCTTAAACATGCTCCTCACTTTAAATGCATGGGCAGCCCCGTGTGCTCACAGTTAGGCATGTGCCGATGGACCTTGCTCTGACTCGGGCCCCATGGGAAGGAATGGGGAGGAAGAGACGGGGGTAACAGTGTTAGGAGCAGTGGGTAACGCACATGTGATGAACAGTCACGACAGCGATGTTTTTGAAATATAAATAAATCCATGTTGTGTAGTAGAAAGAGAGCCTGAAACACGGGCCTGGTCAAGGCCTGAGGCCTAAAACACAGCCAGCAAAAGTTACACTACAAGCAGCAGTCAAGCCCTGTCAAAAGCAGATACTTCCTGAATTCCTGCCAGTCAGTGCCCAGTACACGAACTCGGCACCAGTATCGCTAGCATTGCTAAAACACACTGAACAGGTGAGCACATTCCAGCAGGCCAGCACAAGCACACCCCAACCAAGCAGACGAGAGGATGGTTTGTGATGAAGAGTGATCTCTTGTCTGAAACATCAGGAGTAAAAGTACAAAGCCAGGGGGTGAATAGGGAGGTTTCTGCTTTTCACTTTTGCTGACTTTGGTTCAGGCCTCAGGCCTTGCACAAGGCCCGTGCTTCTGGCTCTCTCTTCCTACTACAGTTGGTAACTGATTATTATTAGAGCCGGTCAAAAATGTTTAATCCAAAAAAGAATTCAACCAAAAATGACCTTTTTTTTCTCCACCTTTGTAGGTATTCATCAAACAGCTGCTAAGAACCACCAGGAAATGGTTTTCGCCACCTTTTTTTCTTGGAAAATAAAATACATTTTTTTTTTTGTCCAGCTCTAATTTTTTTTCTTCATATCACTTTACTTGCGTCTGATGCGGGAAACCCCTTTTACAGAGGAAGCTTTGAGGCCCTCTGTGGCGACGGCCGCTGTGCTCCTACTTTAGGCAGAGCAACACAACCCGGAATGAAATAAACAAAGACGGGGCTTGAAAGATTTAGGGCCTTTTTATCAGAAATCATGACATTCTTTTTGTTTTTTGTTTCTTTTTCATGTTAAGTGACAGCCGTGCTGGGAGCCCAAGAGCCTGTTCATTGTCGCACCAGCATCTCCTCTTGCTGCGAGCGGAGCTGGGGAATTTGCACGGCGGCTTGGGAAGCCCATGGCACGCAGCAGCTCCGGCTGCTTGTCAGAGGTTTTGAGCTTGCTGCGGATTTGCTCCAGCTAGGGCCCGCAGCATCTGCTGAGCAGTGAACTGCGGGCTTGGCGCCGCTGAGGCGGGGTGTGCAGCTTCCTCGAGCCCAGCGCTAGAGGGCGCTGTCCCTGCTGAGCCTGCAGTGTGCCCCGACTCCGCTAAACGAGACAGGAACTGCAGTGGGATGCCAGGTTCTCCCATTGCCAGTGCCTGCAGCCTATGTTGAATCAGTGCCGGCACTTGCATTTCTCTAGGGCCCGGCATGGCCGCCACCACCTCTGGGTGCCAGATTTGCTGATGGAAGGTTGGGAGGGGCTGCCTCGGAGGCTTCCCAGCTGTCGGGGGGTTCTGCAGCGGCGCCTGTGTCCCCAGGTCGCGGTTCTGGCCGAGCAACTGCCGCACGCTCCTCGCAGCGGGCCCGACCAGGATGTTCTGCACAAGCCGTTTGACAGCCTGCTGCAGCAAGCTCTTGATGGTTGTTGAGACAGTGGCACCGGCTCCTCTTCCTGGGTCTGGAGTGGCTCCGGTGCAGCTCTGTGCTGTGCAGTCAGTAACGCTACAGCAGCAGACGAGGCCGCTAATGCTGGTGTTACCAGGGGGAGCTGGATGGTGGAGTACAAGCCAGGGGCGAAGGGGTTTGGCTGCTGGCAAGGGATGAGTTGCTCCTCGGAGAAGCAAATGAGTTCCCCGGAGCCTGCGTCTGCACCGCTTTCAGCGTTAGATCCGGGTGATCCCTACCCACGTGCTGCGAGGCGCTGTCTCCGCCCAGGAGGCTGGCCAGAAAGCTCAAGGCCTGGCTGGGGTCCTTCATGATTTCCCGCACGGTGGCCGGGCTCCGAGCGAGCTCCAGAATGAGCTTCAGCATGTCGGGAGTGTTCAGGAAGTGGCCGATCTCCGGGGTTTTCTGGATCACTTGTTGCTTCAGAGGATTGTCCGTGATCAGCTCAGTCATCAGGTCTGGGTTGCAGAGCCGGCTCTGAATGAAGGGGTTCTCCAAGAGCTGGAACATCATCTCGGGGTTGGACGTGAGCTGGCTCTGGAACTCGGAGAAGTTGGCCGTGTTCAGGCCGAGGTTGCTGGCAAGCTCCCGCAGGCCGTCCGTGCCGAAGGCCGTGCTGGAGAGGCTGCTGTTCTCCGCCTGGGTGGCGGCCGCACCCTCTGGGGAGCCGGCGTGCTGACCCAGACACTCCTGAGGTCTCCTTCGTGACTGGATGACAAGGTAGATGGTGGCATCGTCCTGGATGCCATGCTGGCTCAGGGTCTTTTGATCTTTTAAAATCCTGCCAGCGAATATCAGCACAAGCCGGTCGGTGGGAGTGGAGAAACGGGTGGAGATGCCAGCCTTAAACTCCTTGATGAGCCTGTCCTCGGGCACTACGAACTCCTCCTTCTGCCCGGGGGTCTTGACGGTCACCTTGATGACTCGGGGAGCGGCGGCAGCCTCTAGACGAGCTCCAGGGACATCTCTGCTTCTGACCATGCTTAGTGGGATGGTGTCTCAGTGGGACATTTGCAAGCTTTGGCACAGGGATGGGGGCGAGAGGCAAAGGACACAGCGTCTTCTGCTTCCCCGCTACTGGCCCCCTCTAATCATGGGCCTCCGGAGAGGACCTTCTCAGAGTCTCCAACCAAGGCCCGGGCTCCCCTGCTGCTCTGCTCCTCTACTGACCTGCAGCAGTTGATGGAGCTGCCCGCAACCTCCGGTGTCTGCACTGTGACATCACGGCTGATGCCATAAACTGTCATGGCACCCGTGGATTTCCTCTACACTAACTCCCACGCAAGCAACTCGCTCTGAGAACTTCAACTTGGCAATTTCCTGGCACAGGCCCAAATCCTTCCCCGGTGGCGTAAGTAGGTGCAACTGGACCGAGGGCAATGGAGCTGGGTCTTCCTACATCACAGGTGAATTTGGCCCCAAATCTGTAATAATCTTAGTTCTAATAATAAATAGTTCTGGGATCCTTACTCAGTCTTTACTCAGGCAACTTCTATGGGGAGGGAATGGAGTTTCTCTGCCATCCATCACTTTTACCCTGCACAATCTTAAATATCAGTCTGGGCTGGGTTAAATCCAGTTGAAGTTGCAGGAGTGTAGCAGCCGCCTTTCATTCAGGATAAATGTGAAGCAGCGAGTAAGCTCCTTTATTAACCAGGGAACTGAAACAGTAGAAGCCACCACCCATCACACGGGCTAGGCTTTAGTAGAGGTTGAACTGTGTGGCCCAGTGGGTTTCCCTGGGGACTGATACAGCAAATGCAGATGGAACTGAGTGTGTCTGGGTGTCTCTGAGAGAGACACTGCAGCAAGGCCAGCGAAGCTGGGAAACAAGGCAGGAAGGAAGCACCAAATTGCCACCGAAGTGCTGGTGGAGTGGCCCTGGGAAAGGTAAGAGAGCTTTTTGGCAGAGTGCTGGCAGAAAGAGGCTTGGCGCTGCAAACAAAGAAACTATCCCCTGTTGCTTAGTTCCTCCTGGAGTCAAGGAACCAGGACTTCGTACCTTCTGTGTAAATAAACAGGATTCCATCAAAGAAATGTGTGACTGCATCATCAGTTTCGCATCCTAACAGAAACAACTTGCAGGGCCCCAAACTTTGTCCAACCGCTTAGGCCAAAAGGGGTAACAATACGAATAAAGCTTTACTGGCCCCGACAAGGGAACAAGAGGGTCCTACAAAAAGCCATGATCCAAACTTTAAACACACTTAGCCGCTGCAGACAGTCAGACCCTCCAGTGGTGTTCATCAGCAGAGCTCCACTGAGACTGAGCTGTACCAGTGGAAGGGGAGAGGACGAGACAATGGATGGACAGATGTTTCCCAAAAACCCTTAGCATACTTCTTGGAGACCTTCCCAGCTCTAAATCCCTCAGCTTTCCAGTCAGTTCCTTCTCCGTGCTGCATGTCCCTGCTGGAACTCCTTGCATGATCTTCACAATTAGCACAGCCATGTCCTATAATCCAATGTATTGTCCCGTCCCTAGCAAAACAGACCCCGTGGGCCTATAAAACATGCAGCACCCACCCAGCACCTGGCCCCCAAGGAATCCAACCCAGATGCCCAAGCAAACCCCTCCCCAGGACAAACCCTGACTCCCAGAGAACCTCCCCGCCTCCCCCCGAACCTGTAGCGACTGCCACAACTCCCCCAGGAGGAGGGACCGGACGAGGCCTTTCAGGCGTTGGCCAGAGAAGGAAGCTTGTTGAGGGTGTTTCTGCACGTTCCTGCCCCACGGTTAAGCTGCACTGCCATCTGTCAGTCTCTGAGTGGGTGGTAGAGACACATTTCGCTGCCATTAGCCCCACTTCGACCCTGGGGGCATCCTCCCAGGATGGGCACCTGCTCCAGACCGTATTTCTCAGGAGCCCCACGGGGGTCTCTAAAACAACGGGGAGCCGATTCCTGGCTCTGCCACCAACTCCCTGTGTGGCCTTGGGCGAGACCCAGAACTTGTTTCCTCTTCTATAAAACGGGGGATAAAATGCTGCCCTACCTCCCTGGGTCCCAGAAAAAAGCCTCTTAGTAAGACAGCAGCTGCGCCACAGGAGTGACCTGAGCAGCGAGGCCTGGGGCGGGGGTAGAGCTGTCATTCAGATAAGTTCCCCCTCCTGCTCGACAGCTCCGCAAATCCCTTCTGAGGAGTGGGTTTGATTCCCCGCCAACGTCCAACCCCTATCTCCGATCGGGCTCACTTTCCTCCACCTCCATTGCAAATGGTTCTAGAGCTTTTCTCCCGCGCCAAGCCAGGATCGGAGCCCAGCTGGACGTCACTGGGCATGGAAGGGGATTGGATTCCTACCGGTAAATGTCAGTGTCACTGTACACACCCCAAACCTGACCAAAAAATATTTCCATCGATGATCATCAAAATTGGCAGCCAGGCAAGAAAAATGCTGCTCGAGAACATATGAGAGTTCAATTTAAGGTGATTCACTGGGTATATTTTCACATGTGATGTCAACACATTGGGTTTGAATGGCTATAAAGATCGAACTGTTTGAATCTCAACCCGGACTGTCATTGAATAATTATTGTCTGACCCCCCCCTCATCATTTCTCGCAACTGTGAAAATGTACATTTGTGAAAATCGAAAAGAAAAATGCTTCGAACCCGTAACTGCGCACAACTGCGAAAATTTCAATCATTACAAATAGAAAAAACAATGCTTAAAATAAACATTGAGCTTATCTGCTGAAATGATACATATAAAAAATCCCATTCGGCCAAGTGTAAACATCATCCATCCTGCGCTCTCACAGAGCAACGTCAAGGCCCCGGGGATGAACTATGGATTTTAATTGAGTCTAGATCTTAACCTGAGTGATAGCTCCAGAGCATGTGACCAAAAGGAATGAGATGCTGAGCAAGAGGGACTGGTTGTGTTAGACTTCTAGTGACCCTGGAATACCAGTGTTATTTCATTTAAGGTTTGGGTTAAAGCAGTAAAGACAAAGAAAACATAGGGAGTTGGACACCAGGTGCAGTAAATAATCAGTTTCTTTAGTTTATTATAAAGAAATGCCGTTTAGAACGAAATATGGGAAAATGAGATAAGCAGGAAACCTTGGGAAGAAAGGGGCCCAGCCATGAATCTTGTCCTACCCAGACCTGAGGGCAAGGTTCACCCCTAAAACTGCCTCATTGGCCTTAGCTAAGGTCCAATAACTGGCAACGACACCTCTTGTGTGTTATAGTGTATAAAAAGCCAGGTTTTTAGGGGTTCTTTCTCAAAGCTTTTCCTTAGCCCTCTGGAGAGCACCATGATGGAAAGGTATTTCCTGGGCCTGAGCCCGCTGGTACTTATAATTGTATGCTGGTGGGTACAGAATATAGGTGCATACGTTTATGTTTGTACGCTGGGTATAATTATCACCACGTGGCCTTTGAATTACATAAAGGAACGTTTGTGTGGAAGTTCAGCTGTGGTAAACCCTAATAAATGAAGTAGGAAAATAAGTCCCAACATCTCCTCTGCTGAGTCTTTGTCTTTGCAGGGAGTCTCAAATGGGCCTACATAATCTAGAAACACACGTTCCGTTGGCTTGACTTGACTTCCAATGGGGGGTTTGTGAAAATCCCATCCCAAGGGAACCAAGTGCTTTTTGCCTCTGCTTGGCCCAGGAAGAGGGAGGACCAAAAAGGGGCTGGGCTGTCATTCGAGCAGCTCTGAGCCCCTTATGGTAATGCTCCTGGGGTCCACAGGCAGCCATCCCAGTGCTGCTGGAGCTGCCGCCATCTTGTTTTTTCCCTTCTCTGTGAGGCAATCATGTCTGGCCCCTCCATTCCTGCACCCCAGAGCAACTTCATTATGGGCCACATCTAACCCCTTCCCAGCCCACATTCCCATCTCACCAGAGCCGCCGGGCATGGCACAGAGAGTTTATCAGCATCAGGGGAAGGACCCTTCCCTTCAGAGTCACTGCTGTGCTCTCCTTCCTTGGGAGGCAGGGGGAAAATTGATGGCGGTAGATCTGTGAAGCAGCAGGTCCACTGCCTTGCCCCATAACCCTGATGCAGAGGGACCCTGCACATAGCACATAGATAAGGTAGATCCAGGTGCAGATATCTTGCACCAGATCTATCAACAATGCCTCCAACAGAATGGAACCGGGTTCACCCCAGACAGGCTTTTCTGCCCTGTAAGGGGATGGGCCAGGGTTTGCCTAGATCAGCGGAGGTTTGGGTAGATCTAGCACAGAGGGCATTGGAACAATTGGGGGCATTCATGCTCTAAACATAAATCCAAGCCACCTTCACTCTTCGTAGGCTTCATGGGCCTGATTCACCCCTGCCCTGCTCCTAGTAATTCATTTGCTCCTCTGCAGAGTGTGTGTGAAACATTGTCCCTAGTGTTTCACACCTAGTTTGCACACAGTAACAAGACCATGCTCTTACATAGTGCTTTTCAGTGGCAGATCTTGTGCTACAAAGGAGGTCAGTAGCATTATCCCTCCCCTTTACCGATGGGGAAATTGAGGCACAGAACAGGGAAGTGACTTGCCCAAGATCACCCAGCAGGCCTGAGGCAGAGCTGGAGATAGAACCCAAGTCTCCTGAGTCTGTCAAAAAAAGATATCAAATTAGTTTGACAGGCTCTAGTTTCCATAAACTAATGTTGATTGGTATTAATTATATTACCCTTTAATTCTTTATTAATCAAATCCTTTTTCGCCCACTCCATTATCTTGCCCAGGATCAATGTCAGACTGACAGGCCTATAATTACCTGGGTCATCCCCTTTGCCTCTTTTTAAAAATTGGCACAACATTCGATTTCTTCCAGTCTTCTGGAACATCCCAGCATTAATAGTCCACTGAGTGCCTGAGACAGCTCTTTTAAAACTCTTGGATGCATTTTCTCTATACCTGCTAATTTAAAAATGTCCAACTTTAGTAGCTGCTGTTTAACATCCTCCAGCGATACTAGTGCAAAGGAAAGAGTGTTGTCATCATCATATGATAGGACTATTATCCATATC